AGGTCGGCTCAGTAGATCGGGAGGTGAGCCAACCCATCCCGGCGTTCGCTCACCTCTCGATCCTGTCACGGCTCTCTGCCGTGACAGGGGAGGGGAGGGGCTGGATTCCCCCCTCCCTGCTCCGATCTGCCAGCGCTGACTGATGGAACGGACAGGGGAGGGGGCGGGTACAGCTGGCTCTGCCTGTCAGTCACGCAGCTGGGCGGATCCCGGCACAATTGTCGGGATCCGCTTCAGCTGCGGCGTCTCAGTAAACCGCGAGCAGCTGCTCGCGGTATACTGCGGCGTCTCAGTATACCGCGAGCTACAGCTTGCGGTATACTGAGCCTAGGGTGACGGGAGGACGCTAGTTTGTGTCCTCCCGTTACCCTAAGGAAAACTATGGGGAAAAGACTTAACCCCATAGTTCTCCTTTAAAGAAATCCCTGAAGTTTATTGTGACTAGGGCAATCTAGGTATAAAATTATATTTGTATCTACCAGAAGTATGATGCAGCATTCAAAGTTCTTGCAAGGATGTGCTCCTCTCCCTTGGGGGGGATGAACTCAGTTTCAGATTGGACCTGGTCCAAACCTAAGCTCCACAAAACAAGGAACTACCATGGGCCACTCACCCAATCATCTACGGGACAGGCATTCCGCATCCAACAACTGTATGTAAATAAAGGGGTGGGATGCTTGTGCTGATGTAATTTACCTTATATGGCCACATATGAGCTCAATTTCATTTACCAAGTATAGGCCTGGTTTGGAGGAGCTCAGGTTCCAAATTGGTTTGGTTCCCTACCCGCTGCCCGTGTTGGTCACGGCATTAGAGGATTCCCTATTCTGAAGCGGCAGTCACCAGGCCTGGACTGGCAATCTGGCCAATATGCCAGAAGAGTTGGTGTTCCTGACAGTATATCTACATCTCTAGTGTTAATACATAACAGGCTCACTTTGGTTTATAGCGTCCATTAACTTGCGTTCTTCATATGTAACCATGACCTACCTTGTATTTTTATATAAAATATTCAGATGCTCACAATCTTTCAGGATACCACTCACACAGAAATAAATCTATAAACTATAGCTATGTGTGCATTGCACTAATCATCACCACTCTTCCATGCTAGTGAAGGGTTACACAGGACAAAGAGAAGACACCTGAACTACAACAAAATGGCTCCCTTGTCATTGCTGAAACACAGACCAATTAGATTGGGAGCTAGAGGGAGTCGGTACAACTCCTGACCCTTTATTACCTACAAGCGAGACACATTGAAGGCCCGTGCTACAATCCACAATTTGATTTCATCCTAATTTGAACAAAATCACAGCCACCACATGTCAAGCCATGCCCTCATAGGGAGAAAAACATCTGAATTTATGCCAGTTAGGGACAGTCAGAAGCTGCCAATTGGAGGGTATTATCAAAGTTTTTGTAGTATCAACAATTATAAAATTTGACCTTATTGTAGTTCTGTGCTAACACCTATCAGCAACATTAGAATTTAAAGAGGTTCTCTGGGAAAGTTTAATTTTTTTTTCAAAATATACATATGTTGATGTCTTTCCTAGAGATACCACTGCCTTAACTCACAAGGACATGCCCACGCAATGATCTCTTCCTAGAGCTCTTCTGCTCTGACCAGTGGTGTTGTTCTAGTGTCATGTATTAAGAATACAGTACAGGTACACTTGAGTGTTCCTCTGATGCCATCCAGCAAAAAAATCAACTGAGCACAGTGGACTTGAGCAGTGCCTAAGCAAAATGGTTCCTCCAGGTTCAGTGTTTGACCTGCGTTCTAGGTGCAACCCAGCCTATCTTCTAGATTCTGCAGTTCATCTGCCAACAGCCTGCATAGCTTGTGCCTGTGTAATGCCTAAATGCAGTCTGCCCTGAACTGACCAAAAGAAAAACACAGAAGTAGCAGTTCAGGAGGATCTGAACCATATACATGTTTAAGTCATATTTAAAAAATGTACTGTATGTATCACTATAAAATAGAATCGCTGTACGGTATACAAAGGATAGGCCAGTAATGCAGTATAGGAGGTAAAGCATAAGAGAGTAGGAACTCTGCAGCTCCTTTTGTTATAACCATTTCCCCCAGCAGTTAGTCACATACAGTGTATACCAATTGTGCCTCCATTTAGGTAGGAATCTCATTATTCCTTTAATGCTGCTTACTCTCTACATATAATTTAGTTTTTCACTTAATATATGAGGATTTAGATGTTGCACTTCCTAGAACTGCTGTTTTATGCATGATGCATGACCACATGCCCCGACTATAGCTTGCTTTTAGAATACATTATGAACTGTTAATTGTTTGCTTTGCTAGGGTCATTTGCCTGCGCATCAGATGTTACCATGGGTGCTGACCTGAGGACCCTGACTAGAGAATATCATATAGCGATGTCTATACCTGTTCGGTGAGTTCCTGGTGGAGACTGGACACATATCTAACTCCCCAGTAAGTTAACACTGATCTGCGACAACCTTTTTAACACTCACGTGGAAGAGCTGAAAGTGTCTAAACACCCCCTACTTCTAAAATGAAAATTGTATTGGTCTTTCTTCTAGAACCTCTTGGAGAACCTCTTTAAATTACCAAGCATCACTGAAGATTAAACATCAAGGGGTAATAAATTGAGGACCAAGGCCTATAACCTAAACTGGCTTTTTTTTCTTCTTCACTGTTTGAATCCGTTAATAAAATTAACAGACATGTGAATATCTTCATAATTTCCTGTTCTTGTTAAAGCGACCCATCATGATCAAATATTTTCTGAAACAATTAATTGTTACCAGCTGCAACCAATCAACTTCTTTTATCTTCTGATTTAACCTGGAAAGAAGTAAAGAAGAAGCTAACAGGTTGCTAGGACCAACCGAGACATCACTCCTTTGCAACAGTCCCGATCACGAGGCCCACTGTGACTGGTTTGTCCATCTAATGCAGTGCCCAAGTCAACTGAAGCACATACAACCTCCCAGAATCCTTTGCTGCACAACCATATCAAAACAGTGTGAACTGGCCTACAGAAAAGACCAGTTCTGGCACTCGGGACTTCCTGTGTCTGAGATTCACCTTTATGCTGGAGAGCACTCTATTCCATACACAGGAGACCAGTGAAGGTGGAAAAAGGACAGACAAGACATTAAAATCACGATTTAGTTTGAGTTGTCTGGATCTTCGAACCACTCTGGGTGCGAGAAAGAGATGTTATATACAGATGACCAGCGCGCAAACACCAGTTTCTCTGTGATGAAGCGGTGGTGATTGCCTCTTCGTCCACGTTCATTCTGAATGTAAGTGGTACACTCATCAGAACCTCTGGGCTCGTAGTAATGGTACGGCATCTTGTGCTGCCTCTTGCTGAGGATGGAAAAGAGAGAGAACAAGTACTTTGTTAGAAAGTGACTATAACAGCTAAAACCACAGTTGATAAAACAGCTAAAACCACAGTTGAATTCGTGGAACTTGGTACAATGACCCTATTAAACAACAGATTAATGATAGGCATTACATTGCCATTAAACATACAGTATAAGAAGGAAATTACATGAGCGACACGATAAAACAGGCAAAGCTCTAAACCTACAACAAACATAATATATCTATCATGGGCCGGATCTACTCTCTTTGCTGCCCCAAGGCCAGGTTCCTCAATGCGCCCCCCCTACCCTCCAACCCCCCCATGGAGAATGGCAGATCTGCAGGTGGCATACAAGTGACATCGTCCAGATCACTCGTACAAAACAAGCAGCAGCTTCCCTGCTGTACATTTTGCTCTGCTTGCCCAAAGCAGGGCTAAATGTAGAAAACAACTACCCACCCGGCGCCCGGAACTGCATGTCCTGGGCATCAGGAGATAGGAGTTAGTTATCTAAGTTCTGCATTCTGTATCAGTTCATTCTCTCTAAAGCATAAACTCTAGGAATTGATTTTAAGCTGAGACGTGTATCAGTTTGAATTCCTCACATGATCATGCCAAACAAAAGGGCATTTATCTTATAGAACAAATAACCCGTCAAAGACAATTGCAATAATAACTGGAGCAGTGATGATCTCAGAGAGTATACCCTTCATTACCGCACACAATAAAATGATTTGGAATGGTAATAAGATAAAATCCTTTAAAAAAAAGATCCCTTTAAAGCGTGACTCGATGGACTTGTGTCCTTTTTCAACCTGACTAACTATGTAACTATGTGACACTGCATTTATAATAAATATTGCTATCATCGCCACACAAGCCATTTTCTCAATTCATGTTATTACGATTGCGGTTCTATTTCATTTTGCAGCTGCCTTTGGTTTTCTAAAGCTGACAAAAGAGATTTTAAATGTTGCTTCAATGTAACCGTGGCAACTGCAGCCATTGTGTACACTGTGCACAGAAAGCCAAGAAGATATAAAGCAGTGTGCGTCTCAACCTGCAGCCCAATGCAATCTGGACCAATGAGTGTAGATCCATACAAAGTGAAAGTGTAAAACATAACGGCCAAGCTACATTCATGAAGGAGCTTGACCTACAAAACATACATCATGGTTTGCATCTTTCGTGACTCTTCATTGAATAAACAAGATTGCATTTCCATTTCCACTTCCTTTTTGTTTGGTATGAGCCTTTGTAAGATTGGCGTATGGCGTTCTTTGCACCCATAGACACGGCCATAATGAAACGGTTGATCATCAAACGGTTGATCACGCTGTCAGAAAGGTTCTGCATTAAAAAACAGATGAAATGGTGCTTGCGTTTAGGCGTGTATACATAAGCATCTGTATACCGCTTAGACGCGTGAGATTCTACTTCCGTTGAATTTACGCGTTTAAACGCATTTGTATGCAGACCTTGGACGCAAATTTCTGAATATTGATTTTATGGATCTGAACGCAGCGTGCGTTTACTGATCTTATGAGCCCATAGAAAACAATAGAAATGCGTTCAGTTCCATGGAAATAAAAACAATTTACTGATAAAAATTCTGCTTTTTATGGCCGTGGGCATGAGCCCTTAAAGGGGATCTTCACCCTTATTTTAAAAAGGACAACAAATGCACCTATAGAAATGTTTAGTAATGACAATCTACAATCTACACACCTCCAGTGCCTCACTCAACCAGGCAAGAACTACATCACCAGTGCCTAGCTTAACCAGGCCAGGGCTAAATCACAAGTGCCTCACTCAAACAGGCAAGGGCTACATCACCAGTGCCTTGCTTAACCAGGAAAGGTCTACATCACCAGTGCCTCACTTAACCAGGAAAGGTCTACATCACCATTGCCTCACTTAACCAGGAAAGGTCTAGATAACCAGTGTCTCACTTAACCAGGAAAGGTCTACATCACCAGTGCCTCACTCAGTCAGACAAGAGCTACATCACCAGTGCCTCACTAAACCAGGCAAGGGCTCACCAGTGCCTCACTAAACCAGGCAAGGGCTCACCAGTGCCTCACTCAGCCAAGCAAGATCTACATCACTAGTGCCTCACTGAACCAGGCCAGGGCTACATCGCCAGTGCCTTACACAACCAGGAAGTGTAAGTAAAAGCAAAAATGATTGTTTATCTAATGAATGTAAGATGATTTCATATCAGCACGCATAAATGCATGCTGATGTGATTTTTAGTGAAAGGGGGTAAAGACCCGCCTTAAAGCAGAACTGAGCCGACGTGGGTCACCATGACGGGCACCTCCCACAATGTACAAATATGGATGTCATAGTTATGGCAAACTTACTTCTTAGTTTGCCCCCCTACAGAGAATACAAATTTGCGTCCCCCTCATCCCTCTGTTGCTGGTTCATCTTTCTTCAGCCATTGGGTGGACACTGATGATGTCACTCCCACGTACCGGAGCTTCGTAGTCCAGACACTCAATTGAGCTTTTCATACATGTTTGGCAGGCAACTTTTTGCAAGTGCAAAGGAGTTTTTTGGGAGAAGAGACATACAAAGTATCTTCTTCCAAAAATTCTACCCACCAGCAATGTTTTTTTTTGTGGGGGGGAAATTAAGTTGCGCTTCAAATTGTACAGTATAACACCAATCCCACAAAGACTCATAGTGGTTGTAGTCTCAGGACATAGTAGCAATATGGAAGCCAGTGGGTAGAGGGCCAGACATCTGATGCACCCAGAAAAGTGACTGATACTGAAGATCCTTCAGTAACTGTAGCTCTCCAGTGGGGCCCAGATAGGACTCAATGCCCGCTGGACAGGTAAGCATTATGGATCTCCTTTTTGCAGAGTTATTTTTGTACACAGTATTTTAGCAGTGGCACGGTTGCTTTAAAGTGCAATTGTGGTTTGGCTCTTTCAGAGAAAAATTAAAGATTACTTTAAAGAGTAACTATGGTGAAAAACTAAAAATATACCTGTATTTCTATATTGAATTTTCATAAGTTCTATCCCACTCCTAATAACCATATACATCCAGAAGTGAGTAAACTTACTTATTGAAGATGTCTATTGGATGTACTTCCTCAATGCATTGACACCATGCACTTATTGTGTCACCACGCTCACAGAGCCTGCCTCCTGAACTACACCTCAACATCTGAACAATATAACATAATCATTGCTTGCTGGAAGCCATGCATGATAGGATATGTAGCCTTCAAAAATGGAGCTTGCATCACATCAAGCAGCAAGTTGTTGAAAGTGATGGGCAGACGGAAGGCAGCGCTCACTACATAAAAGGGATTTTTTTCAAGCAAGCTTTCATTATCTAAAACAAATCTAGTATGTATTCCTATTACAATTATGTTATAACAGGATGGTATTTGCTGGGTCTTTACAACTCCTTATACCTACCAATAGACAGGAAGCAGGGGCGAACATACCATTTATGCAGACTGTGCAGTCGCACCATTGATATAAATTACAAATATTAAAGTCGTCCAATTGGGCTATTATTTTAGGACCAGTGACAATGTCACATGAATGAATCCCACACATAACTGTCTGAGATGGGGAAGCAAAACCTGCTCAGAACACTTTTCTACCTCCCTGCAATATGCAGAAGCTGCAGCATTAGATTGAGTTATTTCTCATTCCAGCGGCCAATAATGGGCCATTACAATTCTCAGCAATTGCTCAGATTCCATTATTCTGCAGAAATAGGTTCTCCAAAACCTTAACCAAACCAATGATAATGTCGCCCTGATTGCTATCTAATGGGAAAATCCTCAGCATTGTTAAAGAGTAAGAGAAAGATCTATTACCTGCAGTAGTTAGGTGGTACCATTCCATATACATGAACATTATTACACAGCTCCACCGCAATCACCATTGTAAACCAGCCCGTGCTGAGCCAGGAGTGAGACTTCTCCCTGCCAGAGACAAAAAATGCATTTGCTGAACACGTATAATGTTGTAATGTGATATGGCTCCCATTTGGTTTTAATGTGATATGGCTCCCATTTGGTTTAATTTATACAGGAGAGCTCATACACACACAGGGGTAGAAGAGAATGAAGATGCATGTGTTTTTTTCTCCCCCGTCACCTAGTACGTCCAGCATATGAAATAAATATCTAGATCGTTACTAGCCAGAGCTGCACAGCCTCTGGGTAAAATCTTCCGAAATCTTTTGAGCTGTACCTGCATTTGCACACAACGGCTTTCATACACCTCTACAGCTGGCCATACATCTTTGCAGCCAAATTGGGGTTAACACAAGCTGACCGTGGAACATCACTCAATTCCCCTATCCATGCAAAACAGCATGGATGGAGGGATCTCCAATATCGGCTATCGTATTCTAACTACTGGCAACTGTGGTTGTCGGAATTCAATAGACACGTGGGTAAAGCTGGGAAGATTTTTGCAAGAGGCTGTGTGAATCTGGGAGGCCAAGATCTCCAGACAGCAATGTTCTAAGTAAGTATTTCCAATGCTGAAAGTGCTGGAGGCAGAAGGGTAGGGTTAGTTAGAAAGGGTGCACTAAACCTGAATACATCTTAACCTAAGAGCAGACATTTAATATATTGCATCTAACCATTCCTTAGATGTGGTGGCTGCAATACATTTTCTGCAAGTACAAAAAAATACCGGTTGATCCTGCCAAAAATCTAATTTCCTCGTAATTTCCTGTGTGCTGAACTCAAATTTCAAACAATGTTATCAACTTTTCTAGCTATCTTCTATGAATTACAAAACAGCTCCATTACATAGAAGGTCATAGAAGGAAGATGAGGAGAGGGTTAAGTGTTTGTAGTCCAAATCAGGAGAACAACTTAGAATGACATCCACCGTTCCTACATAGATACAGTGCAGTAAGTGATGTCACCTTAGGACAGGAAGAGTGTTACTGGCAGGATCACCAGGTAAAAAAAAATGACACTTGAGTTAATCCGAACATGGAAAATACATGGGCATCCTGCCGAATCAGCTTTGGGTTGGGGAATTCCCTGCCCCAAAGCAGACCATACACAAAGGAGCGGGATGCTTGTGCTGACATAATTTACCTTATATGGCCATATTAGGTAAATGTCATTTGACTAATATAGCTATGTAGCCATATAAGGTGAATTACATCACTGCACCTACCCCCTTTGCTTACCTGAAGCTGTGGACAAACCCCCTGCTGATTGGGCAGCATGGAAGGACCTTCCTTCCATGCTGAGGAGGGCCTTCACCAGGTTCGGGGGAGCTCAGGTTTGGAACAGGTTAATTCTGAACCTGAGCTCGTCCCTATTTACAAGACCAAAAGGTAGCATCTAAGGAAAGTTCATTATTAGGTTACATACACTTTAAAGGAGAACTATGGGGTAAGCGTTTTTCCTCATAGTTCTAAGGGTCACGGGAGGACACAAACTAGCGTCCTCCCGTGACCCAAAGCTCAGTATACCGCAAGCTACAGCTCGCGTTATACTGAGACCGCCGCAGCCGGGACGGATCCCGACATTACTGTGGAGATCCACCCAGCTGCGTGATTGACAGCTGGCTATGCCTATCTGGAGGCAGAGCCAGCTGTACCCGCACCCCTCCCCCGTCCGTTCCACCAGTCAGCGCTGGAGGATTGGACAGGGGAGGGGGGGAATCCCTGCAGGGAGCCGTGAGTGACAGTTACGGCTCTCTGCAGTGACAGGATCAAGAAGTGAGGGAGCGACGGTAAGTGTTTGATCACTTCCCGATCTATTGAGCCGACCTGTGACAGTTTCATTGTCACACGTCGGCTCGAAATATGAGGCTCAGCTCATAGTTCTCCTTTAAAGTGATGTTTTAATTCAGGATAGAGTAGAGAATGCTTAAACTCCTGTCAAGTAATTTTTTGCTGTCCTGCTGGGGAGATTTCCTTTCACTTCCTGCCTTGGAGATGCAGCAGAAAGTAAAATGAAAAAAATTAAAATGAGGGCATTTCCTCTCTTAGACAGTTGTCCCCAGAACAATCGCCCTCATTGGAAGATTTTCCCTCACCTCTTCTCTGGTGACAACTGTTACATGTTGGATTTGGCATCACTATCTGTCAAACATGCACACAATAAAAACTTAACATAGGTCCTAACTGTTGCACACTCTATCCAAAAACCTAAAACAAAAGTTTGAGCTATACAAAAACTAAAAAAGTGCCCCCACATAGTCTCATTATTTGCCAAGGAAGGGTACTCAAAAAGTGTCAAGCAGCCTACATATGGCTGGACATCACCTATCTTTTTCCAGATGGGTCTATATAACACTGGGATTGTATATGTACTTAGGAATAGGTTGATTCTAACCGGTCTCGTCCAGTCTCTGCCCGGAACAAATCGTCAAACCTCATCATATTCAGAGGAGACAAAACGAAGGCTGATACGTTGGGGAAAGCAGAGCTGGCTCTCTCGATGATGTGATACAGGTTGGCTTTGCTGTTTTGCTGCATCTTGACCGGGGGTCCCCAGAAAATAAGCGCCTGCCTTGGAGCTCGGCTCAAGAATTCCTGTGGCCTTCGCAGCACCCGGTACACGCTAGAGTGAGCAACCACCCGGAAGGTTGTCTTGTTACCCACGTCCTTTTCATAGCCAGTGGTGGGAGCATCGTTCATGCGGATGATGCATTCTGCCTGATCGATCTTAGGGCCCAAGCCGGTGTTCAGAAGGTGGCTGGAGCTGGTAACGAGGATGCAACTGTTGCACTTGGAACCTAGAGTCTAAGGAGAGTTTCAGAGGTCAACATTTAGGTTAGACTTTAAATCATTAAGTGGATTCAATTATTTATTACTCCAGGTAAACATATAAGGATATACAGTTTGGACCTCCACTAAGAATATATGCAAATATAGACTTTCTGAAAGTCAGTATTTGCATATGACTAGGCAGCCCCCCCAATGTGATGGTGCTTGGGCCTGGTGATAGCCAACAAGCACTGCATTGTGGCAGGAAGAAAGGAGTCTACATGTGTACCCCATACAGAGCGATATTGGGGTTTTTTGTAGGACTGCAGCCAAAGGACTGAGCTGTGGAACATGGGGACATTTGCCACCTCGGCCAATAACAATAACATATGTTGGCCTGGTGGACCTAGTTGAAGATACTTCACCATCAAGATTTCAGTCAGAGGCCATATAGCTACTTGCTACCCAAAGGACTGGGCTGTGAAACAAGGAGGTATTTACCACCCTGGCCAATAATAAGATACATTGGTCTGGTGGACCTAGGTGAAGATACTTCACCATTACGTTTTCAGTCAGAGGTTATATAGCTACTTGCTACCCATTCAGGCCTGCAATCACAGAATTTGGCAGAGGCTCGTCATCCATCACTGACTCACTTTGCAGCTCTAAGATGCCATGTGACTGAATGCAGAGATCCCCAATGGAAGTTGATGCTGCAAACCATGTCCTTTGAACACGCACCTCTTACGATGGCCCCCAACCAGTAAGGCCCCATGGTACATATCGCATGATACATTTTCTTTCACCCCAGAAATGTACTAAAGACTAGACATGTGCGATTCGTTTCGTTCCGAATCGAAATTCGGACGAATTTTCGGAAATTCGGACATTCGGATGTATCCGAATTCCGAATTACAGACATAACGAATGCAAACGAATCCGAATTTCCATTTCCGAAATTCGGTAGCGTTCGTACGTTTCGTTTTCTGTTCTTATTCGTTTCTTATTCGTTTCGTTCGTTGGAGCAAAGTGACATTAGAGGAGAAAAATATTTTTTCCCCCTCAAATGTCACTTTTGCTGCAAACGAACGAAACGAATAAGAAACGAATAAGAAACGAATAAGAAACGAATAAGAACAGAAAACGAAACGAACGTTCGTACGAACGCTACCGCATTTCGTCCGAATCCGAATTCCCAATCCGAATTGACTTTCACACCCGAATCCTGAAAAACGAAATAACACAAATCCGAATTTAAAACGAAACGAAACAAATTTTTTGGCAGTGCACATGTCTACTAAAGACAAGATACCAAGAGCTGAGAGATTGTTGGTTACATGAACATTCTTCTCTCTGCAATGTCCAATGGCGGCTCTAAGCAGCGTAGAAAGAAAATTGTTCTCTCCCCACACTTCTCCTTAAAATATCAAATTATTTTGCAACTAAAAACAAGAACCAGTAACAAGAAAATATACGATATCTCAGAAGACACACAGACATCTCACCTTGTTTCCAGACACTGAGATGTAGCCATCTTGTATCCCCCATTTTCTAATGTTTGGTGGGTTGTGATGCTTGATCTTGAGCTCCTTGTAGTTGAATGGTTCCTCGTTGTTGTTGGAGCTCAGAATAATGAGGAAGGTGACTAAAGCAAATATGAATATGAGGGCAGCGGTACGACCCTGCATCAATCCATTAGATGGACAGAAGAAACAGAATGGAAGAAGAGAAAGACAGTTCAGTTTTGACTCCATGAACAAGATAGCTGCGGTGCTATGTAATGATGAATGAGGTGCGTAACTAGCATATCGTATATTCTTCATTTATTAAAATAGCACAGTTATGAAAGTGTCAGGAAAAGGGCATAGGAGCAACCTGCGCTGTCCTGCCTGTAATCTAGGATGCCCCATACAATAGGCATGCTCCTAGAATCTATGGAATGATCGCTTTCCTACTTTCAAAGCCTTTGCATGCATAAAGCTATCCCTATTGCTGCAGCAGCTGAGCTCAGCTTTGCTGCAACAGGGGCGGTAGAGCACATTGACTTAGTGTTTAGCACTTCTGCCTCAGAAATGGGGTCCTCAGTTGAAATCCAGGATTGGCCAACACACTATATGCTTGCATGGGTTTCCTATCACACATGGTAAATTGGCTCTAGTAGGATATTCTTCTGAGTATGCACAATATGGCTGCCTCGCATCTGCCCAAACAGTGGATGAAGTGCTATAGAAATATCACCTAATAAAATTCAAGAACTAGGCCAGCTACAGGAAGAGACCCATATCACTATGTTCTGTTCCATGAAATCTATTGCTACCTATCTGTTCCTTTCCACCACATCAATAATCCTGTCAGGAACCAGATCTGAACCCAGGGCCTCTGCTGTAGCTGGTGGTGGTTCTACCTGCTGAGCCACCTTAGAACTTTGAATAGCTCCTTGCCTGATCTCCTGTGTAATCCTCAGTTAATTTAAACCTAGTTTCTGCTGAACTCCTTGCTCCTCCCTTGAATTTCCTATTTAAGCCCTGCCTCTGCACTTCCTGTTTGCCAGATTATTGTGCTCCTGCCATTATCTTGCTTCCTGCTCCCTCAGTGCTACAATCTACTCATACTGCTACCCATGTACCGACCTTGGGCTGCTGATTCACCGACTACTCTCATCGTCTTCTGATTCATACCTGATACATTTGGCTACTGACCTCGGCTTGTTCACTGACTACGCTTCTGCCTGCTCCTCCACTACTACCCTCTGCTTGTGTACCAAACCCAGGCCTGTTATACTACGAATTGCCTGCTGCTTCAGCTGCTGGACTCTGAGCCTGATCCCAGATCGTGACAAATCCTTTCCACCCACAAGAGTTTCATCATTAGTCAGAGCATGGCCGCGTCTATCCGGCACATTTGTAGGCTCGTCTACAAATTTCATGAATGCTATCTGCCTCCGACCAACCATAGCAATGTTCAGTCGCAACATCAATTTTCCAGTCCCACCATGTTCCTGCTATGTACCAACCTCCTTATTTGTACATAAACTGTCGTTTTTGTAAAATTTTGTAAAAGTTTTGTAAAATGATTTAAAGGTTAAAAACCCGACACAGTATAAATCCTTCATCACTTCAACACTAAAAAAAAACTACGTTTTGGCTGATATTTTATGCTAAATGGCCCAAGGTGACCTATCGAGCCCTCGGTTTGCTTCCATGCAATTTACAAACAATAGGGAAACTTTTATGTGCTATTTGATTTTGTTTTATACAGACAAGCTGAATTGATTTATGGCTTTAATTGCTTTAATAACAACCATTGAGGATCATTTTGTACATTGTGCACATGAAAGGTGACATTTTGTATTCCTGTGGTAGAATAGACTGCTTTATGTATGTGGATAAAGCACAGTTCTGCAGGTCAGTGTTACCGCAATGTAATGGAATGATTGCCATGCATTGTGGTTTAGATATGAGCAGTAGTGAGGTCAGTGCGCAGAGATTATTACACTTGTGTTAGTCATCTCCCAGCTGAGTCCTACTATGGCTCTGTCATTTTCTTACATCCTTGCACCTACAGGGAAGAAAAATGTTAATTGTAAATATTTTAGGACATAATTAATGTTCTCTCCATTCTTCCGTGACACAACGGTACTCTGATGTTAAAGTATCTGTAACCCAACCAATGAAATCTCTGTCTCATTTTCAGTATTTTTAAATCTGCAACTATCTTCAAAAGAATACCTGGCGATCTTGCCATGAAGGTCCTTGTTCAAACACTCCCTGGTGTAAGGTGACAATGTTCTTACTGCTTCATCAAGATATAGTTTACCAAGTTTGGTGTGAAGGAATCAATTGGCCTGCACAGAGTTCTGATCTAAACCCTACTGAACATGTTTGGGATGAATTGGAACACAGATTGCGAGCTTGGTCCTCTCAGCCAACCTCAGTACTACCTTGCAAATATTCTTTTTGGTTGTATGAGCCCAAATCCCAAAAGACCCACTCCAAAATCTTGTGGAAAGCCTTCCCAAAAGAGTGGAGCCTGCTATAGCTGCAAAGGGTGAGGGGGGAACTCCATGTTAATGGCCATGGTTTTGGAATGGAGTATCCAACAAACTCAGGTAGGTGTGATGCTCAGATTTCCACAAACCTTTGGCCATATAGTATATGTGCATTTTCCTCAACCACCCCGGATACTGAGGATATAGTCCCAGGGTTCCGCAGATCTGAGATGTGTCCCAGGGACAAGCACTGGAACGCTCATTCCTGTAATTGGCTCCAAGCCGCTATAGCAGCACTGCTGGGCTGAGTGATCTCCTGACAGTAGCTTCCAGCAGTGACCTGGGACAAGGATCTCTGGCACAGGTAAATACTGTGAACAATTGCTAATGATGTTCTGGTGAGGGAATCCACTGAATGCCAATGCTTACCTATTCCTGTTGGGGAAGGTGAATCCAATGGCCACCAAGGCTTGCCAATACCTGGGGGGGTAGGGAAGAATCCCCTAATTACCTCTAATGCTTTGGGATGAGAATACTTTGACCTCTAGATCCTTGGGAGACAGGGTGAGAATCTACTCACCACTAATGAATGCTCTTGGGGGTGTGATGGGGGAGGGGGGATCCACTGACTGCTAATAATTGCTCTTGGTGGGTGGGGTGGAAAATCCACTCACTGCTAATGATTGCTCTTTAGGAGTAGAATGGAGAACCCACTGACCACCAATGCTTTGTGGGATGGAGGGGGGAGGGACGGGGGGGTGGGGGGGGGGGGGGGGGGCATATGATTGCCCCTGGCCACTAATGTATTAGAGGTGATCTAATTGCCAGTTGCCACTCACCATAATGATTGGTGGGGGGTTCTTCTCATCACTGACTACCAATGATATGGGAGGTATTTTTTTACTGCCACTGAGCAGGAGTTTGAAGGCTCTCTGTTACATGCTCCTGACCCATTCCCTTTATGGTGTGAAGGGAACTAATGTATTGGGGGTAATCTAATTGCCAGTTGCCACTGACCATAGTGATTGGTGGGGGGTTCTTCTTATGACTGAGGTGATATGGGAGGTACTTTTTTACTGCCACTGACCAGCAGTGTAAAGGCTCTCTGTTACATGCTGCTGACCTCTTCCCTTTATGCTGAGTTGAATGTTTCATAGTCTTGATCACTGTAATCTATACACAATGTTGAATGTTACATAATTTTGACTGAAGTGTTGCTGCTTCCTATGTAGCCCTTAACTACTTAAATGAAGCTCTCCATAATGTAAGCTCAGATAAAGTGTTAGCTCACTGTCTATCAGAAGAGTTGTATTTTTTTATAAATGATCCTTTGTCCTGAGGTTTATCTGTATCTTTCAGACTCTCGCTTGTAGCACAGTAAATCATTTTGTGGGTACAATGATAGCAGCATATATGTGCAGGGTATACAGAGAGTAAGCACTGTCCCTTTAAGTCACACTAATGTTCAGTGCATTGTGGACAAGCACAATTGTTGCCGTGGCTGCGTGGCATGCTGTTTGCTGCTTGTCATCACCATCAGCGTGCCCCTTATTTTCAAGTTCTAGATTTGGGAGGTATGCAATGATAGTCCAAAATACAAGCTTGCTGAAAGTACGCTATACTTTCCCTTTTAGAATTTCTATTAGTTACAGAATCATTTAAGTCTAATGCGGGCTTAATTTATGAGAGCAGATCCAGCAAGAGGATTTTCGCTTGTCACAGCAATTTTGTTCAGCCTTCATGAATAAATTCAATGATGCAGTCAGTCATGATGTGCTCTTGTTGACTGAAAATTTAAAGCTGAACTCCGGAATAAGCATATATTGTATAAATAAAAGAGTTATGTGTATTCTTCCTGGAATCTGGTGTGCTTTGTGTATTTCTTCTAGATCTGTTCAGTAATCCAGTGTGAAACGTGGAGCTTCCTGGCATAAAGACCGCTCACTGCTGCTCTATGTCTCCTTGTGCAGGGTGGCTGGTCTTGTCTCCGCCCCCTCCTGTAGGTTTCTGCAGTAGGTGGAGCCTGCTGGAGTCCCTCCCACAGCTCTGCTCTTTGCACAGGTTATGTTTAGCACAGTGATGATGTCACAGCTACTTTATAAAGTAATGTCTGGACATTTGGTGCAGACAAAGTGGATTTACATTCTCTGCGGCTATTGAGAAATATATTTCAATAAAAGTTTTTGCGCCCAGAGTTCAGCTTTTACATTATTGAATAAGCCCAACAAGACCATGCAGTGCACTGTAGCCCATAGCCTCCAGTCACACATGGTCATTAATTTTTTTTTCTTCCCTGATATAATAATGAATATCATCTGATTGGCTGCTGTAGGTCAGGGCATGTTGCTCCTCATTTTCTTTTTAACAAGCCTGTAAGTGCCGCACTTGTGTGAAGTGTTGTGCAATGCAGTGATCTGATCCTACTGCTCATTATAATGCTTTCCAAGCCTGCACCTCCTTATTGTAGTGCGAGGGCCCCGTTCCACATTAACACAAGCTGGATGTGTTTCTATGGCAACCAAACTGCGAAGCTGTGAGATTGCATCCCCCTCGCCCCCCCAACGCTCATCAGGCAGAAGAGAGGAAATGGGGAGGTGGGAATAGACATAGAACAGCAGAGGGAGAAAGTGAGAACGAGGTACACTTAATGCTGATAAAAGCCGACAGGACCAGACTGAGGTTTTCGAATCCGCTCTTATATAAAGTACACGGTGAGACATATAGACGTTTGCAAACCAGGCTGAGCTATAATATTGAAATATCATCACCTCTGCTGATCTGGTCTAGCACTGGAGCCATAGTGTTATTTTAAGAACAATAGTCCACATACACTATATTACCAAAAGTATTGGGACGCCGGCCTTTACACGCACATGAACTTTAATGGCCTCCCAGTCTTAGGCCGTAGGGTTCAATATTGGGTTGGCTCCACCCTTTGCAGCTATAACAGCTTCAACTCTTCTGGGAAGGCGTCCACAAGGTTTAGGAGTGTGTCTATGGGAATGTTTGACCATTCTTCCAGAAGCGCATTTGTGAGGTCATGTACTGATGCTGGACGAGAAGGCCTGGCTCGCAGTCTCCACTCTAATTCATCCCAAAGGTGTTCTATCGGGTTGAGGTCAGGACTTTGTAGAGGCCAGTCAAGTTCCTCCACCCCAAACTAGCTCACCCATGTCTTTATGGACCTTGCTTTGTGCACTGGTGCGCAGCCATGTTGGAACAGAAAGGGGCCATCCCCAAACTGTTCCCACAAAGTTGGGAGCATGAAATTGTCCAAAATGTCTTGGTATGCTTATGCCTTAAGAGTTCCCTTCACTGGAACTAAGGGGCCAAGCCCAACCCCTGAAAACCAACCCCACACCATAATCCCCCCTTCCACCAAACTTTACACTGGGCACAATGCAGTCAGGCAAGTACCATTCTCCTGGCAACCGCCAAACCCAGATGTGTCCATCGGATTGCCAGACAGAGAAGCGTGATTGGTCACTCCAGAGAACACGTCTCCACTTCTCTAGAGTCCAGTGGTGGCGTGCTTTACACCACGACATCCCGCGCTTTGCATTGCACTTGGTGATGTAAGGCTTGAATGCAGCTGCTCGGCCATGGAAACCCATTCCATGAAGCTCTCTACGCACTGTTGTTGTGCCAATCTGAAG